AATAAAAAAATAAATAGTAACAATACTGAATGTGGAGCCCTTCAACCATTCAGTCACTCCCCAGCTGGATTGGGACAATTGTTAGCTGCTCACAAGCTTTTGTTAGGTGTTTGATACCCATTGGAAATCAGCTCGAGATCAGTATCCAGGTTGTAGTCAGCCAGTGCTGCAGAAAATACAGGCTGGAGCCCTTTTTTCAGACTTGGGGGTGCCAGTGACATAAGTCACACAGCAAACTCCTCCCTGAGCGTGTTTGCTGTGCTTGTTCTAGGACTGTTCTCTGTAGGTTGGTCATACCATCCTGGGGTCTTTTGACAGGAGATTTGTTTCTGCTTTTCTTCCTGGTGGGATGGTTGGAGAAATAACCGTAATCATTCCTGCAAACTCCTCTAATGCTCTTGTGGTCATTTTTAAATCCTGAAAGTAATGTTTTTAAATATGGTTGGATCTTGTGTTTTAAGTAGAGACATTTTCTATCACTGGATAGTTGTGAAGAGTTTTTAAAAGTATTCATTATATCTTCTGGGTTAAAACTTCATGCTTGTCAATCAGCTTAACCTCTCTATCAATAATGCGGTTCAAAAGAATGCTTATGGAATGGCTGACTTGCCACATTGACTTGCTTCTTTCCGGGCAGTAGGCTGGGCATGAGATCATGGGAATTTACAGTTCTGCTGATGAAAGCTGAGCTGACGGGAGAAGGATGCCATTGGTATTTGAATTGGTAGCTGAGAGCTTGAAAAGAAACCTCTTCCAAGAAATATGTGGTGGCCTTGGTGGGCTAGAGCTGTTGCCCAGCACATTCCTGAGCTCTGGGCGGCTGGAGTAGCCTGCCGCAATGCGCGCTGGCCCGCGAAATACTTAAAAGAGACTTTCCTGTGCCTTAGAAGTCGCTAAGTCTAGTGGCAGTAGGTGTTTAGCCTTGAAACGAGGTGAAGGAAAAGGAGGAAACCCTTGGTGAGTTCGAAGCTGGGGGCAGAGGAAAAGTCACCGCTGTGAATCTTCTCAAGGACTTTGGGGTGTTGTTTTTGTCACCCCTGTTCCTTCCCTCTTACAGACCTCTCTATGTCCCGGGGAGGTCTGTGTGTGCCCCCCCTGCCCCGGAGGGAAGGTGCAGTGAGGTGAAAGCTGGCAATCATAAATAGATAAATATTTATGAACTTAATGGGATGAAATTAAGGTGTCCTTCTCCAAAAAGAGAGGAATGGAGAAAACTAGGAGGGGCTGGGAGGGAAGAAACCGCAGGAAAGTGGTTTGGAAAAGCCTGAGTCAGCTCAGTGCTGTCAAAGCCCATAGGGAATGACTCTTGGACCAGAGTGAAGATATTGAGGATGGAATGCCAGGAAGATTATTAACCTTGAATAAAAAGTGGTGAAGTATATGCCTGCTGTGGCTCCTCTCCACAGCGTGCTGTGCAGCTGGACTCTGTGAGGTTCTGTGTGTTGTTTAAAATAATGCCACTTCATCTTTTATTGTCAGTGAGCCGTGACCATGGCCTCATGGTCACAGTATGAAAGTTTTATAGAAGAACTTGGGTTTGGGTGCATTACCAATGTATTTTTCCCACGTCTGTCTGATACCGGCATTAGTTCACAGATTTATGTCTAGCAGCATGTCTTAAGTCTTTACTTATGTTGCAAGTAAAATGAAAAGCAAACAAGTTTAGGAAGGGTAAAAGGAAATAGGAACAAGTGCATTCTTGTCTCAGGGTTACAGGAACTAGGAGTGTCCTGTGTTTCGTTTGTAACTTTAAGCAGAATCATCTTACTCATCTTCAACTCTGTAGGTCTTGTTCTTACTACCCTTTCTGTGTCTCTGTGAGGCGTTTCCAGAAGCGTGTTTGTGTGTGTTGAGGTGGAGCGGGACTCCTTCAGTACCTCAAGGGGCTTAAGAGGAAGCTGGGGGGGACTTTTTACAAGGGCCTGTAGTGACAGGACAAGGGTAACGGGTTTAAATTGAAAGTGGGGAGGTTTAGATTAGATGCCAGGAAGAAATTCTTCATGGCGAGGGTGGTGAGGCACTGGCACAGGTTGCCCAGAGAAGCTGTGGATGCCCCGTCCCTGGAAGGGTTCAAGGCCAGGCTGGATGAGGCTTGGAGCAACCTGGTCTAGTGGAAGGTGTCCCTGCCCATGGCAGGGGGGGTGGAACTAGATGATCTTTAAGGTCCCTTCGAACCCAAACCATTCTGTGATTCTGAACTTCTCCTTGCCTACCAAGTTGAAAGAAAACCGGATTTCTTTAGCACCTTCTCGGTTCTCTTGCCATGAAACTGAGACATCTTGTCTTTGGCATCTTCCTCTTTGGCATGACTTTCTCCTGGTTCTGGGCTGTACTTTGCAGGCCGAGGGGGAAAGGGGCAGAAGGAGTCATGGTTTCCAGCTGGGGTTGTCTCCTGGGCAGACCTTCTGCTTGGCAAGCCCCTGTGTCAGTAAGTCCCCGGGCAGCCGGGTGGCACCGCACCTCTCTTGCTTGGTGGCCCACGTACCACGTGCTTGCTCTGTATCACAAGCCAGCGTTTGGTGTCCCGTCCCTCGGCGTTCGCTTTAATCGAGGGCTCTGCTCTGGGTGTGTTCAAAGAACCTCAGGGTTAACAAATAGAATTTAGGACTAGACGGTTTAATGAAGGGTGGGTTTGGTTTTTTTCCCACAGTTTGCCCTCCCAGGTGGTTCTGGATGAGGGCAGGTGCCAGACCATAAGCAATGAGTTATACTGGGCTTTTTAAAGAAAAGGGAAGTTTTGGGAGGTTTTAGGTACTTGCTCACCGCGTGGCTCTAATGAGCAAACTCCGCAGCGTGCGACAAGCCAACGATGAAAGCGCCGCCTGGCATGCGGCAGCGGGGCACGTAAGGGGAAAAACCCACAACGCGAAGGAGGGTGGTGGGAACTTGCCTTTGCATATAACCCGAAACGCACAGTAATCGATTGCAGGTGCTCTCGGCCTGTGGGGTGTAAACAGAAATCAGGAAATTGCAACTGCGCTGCCCTTCCTGTGTTGCTCAACGACAGGGGAGGGAGAAGCCCGGGAGCTGCTGCTCGGCGGCTTCTGCCGCACGAGGAGGAGGCGGCTGTGTCACTTCTCCATCGCTTTGCCAGTAGGTCTGGTGCAAGAGGGCTGTGAGGGTCTTCTGTTTCTGCAGCTCCCTCTCTTCCAGAGGACACAAGCACATGCCTGCACGTACGCTGGTGGTCAGTCCTCCCCACCCACCACCTCCAAAAGAAAAACGGAGGTGCTTGCCTTGCCCCAAACAGTGCACCCGTTCCTAATGGCTTTTTTGGGGGTTCTGCAGGCATGTTGCTGGGGATAAACGATGGTACTGAATGTCAGGTTTAAAAACAAACAATTACTCCGTGGGCCATAGCAGCTAGAGTTCAAGTTGGCAACCTTGGCTCGTTGCACAAGAGCCGGTAAGACTCAGCTTACTGGTGGTGCTGCTCCTCACTTAAAAGCCCAGTAAAATGCGTGAGGTTACTTGGCCGGGCGGTGTGAGCTAGTGGTCAGGGGCTCTGAAGAACTGGAAGGCCACTGTCATTAATAAACCCCACTTTGGTAGTTGTCATGTCTGGTTCAGAAGCACAACTGGAAATGGAAGGGGGTAAAAGGGGATATTTCTTTTTTAAATGAAGAATTGTTGTGTAAGCACTTCTGCCTCTTGTTAAGCACATCTGATTCCTCTTTTGGTGCAGTGGGAAGAGCAAACCCCAGCAGAGAAGGAAGATGGTGATGTGGGAATAAGGGCCCCTGTTTCAGTAGTGAACAAGTCGACTGGTGCTGGTGGAAGCGAAGGTGGTTGTCGGGTGTCTCGCTGGGTGGTGGGGGCTCTGGAGAGGAGGTGTGTGGGTGGGTGCTCCTGGCGAAGGGATGCCTTACAAAGCAGCAGGAGGCTTCAGTGAGGGGTCTCAGCAGTGTTTGTGCCCTTGTTAACAGTGGGAACATCTGCAGGATGCTGACCTGAATTTGCAGTTTGTGTGCCGCCCCCTGTGGGGTTTTGGGCCCTTACTCTCCCTACCCACATCAGAAGGATATTGACCACTTGGAGCGAGTCCACAGGAGGCCACAAAGATGCTTAGGGGGCTGGAGCCCCTCTGCTATGGGGACAGGCTGAGAGAGTTGGGCTTGTTCAGCCTGGAGAAGAGAAGGCTCCAGGGAGACCTTATTGCAGCCTTCCAGTACCTGAAGGGGCTACAAGGAAGCTGGGGGGGACTTTTCACAAGGGCCTGTAGTGACAGGACAAGGGGTAACGGGTTTAAATTGAAAGTGGGGAGGTTTAGATTAGATCTCAGGAAGAAGTTTTTCCTGGAGAGGGTGGTGAGGCACTGGCACAGGTTGCGCAGAGAAGCTGTGGATGCCCCATCCCCGGAAGTGTTCAAGGCCAGGCTGGACGAGGCTTTGAGCACCCTGGTCTAGTGGAAGGTGTCCCTGCCCATGGCAGGGGGGTTGGAACTAGATGGTCTTTAAGGTCCCTTCCAACCCAAACCATTCTGTGATTCTTCTGGACAAATTTTATGTTCTTAGGGAAGTCAAAGGAGTTTTGTGCGATGGTAGGGTGCTGGGAAAGTCATAAATACAGCCCTGATCTGCAGTGTGTACTTGGTAGAACTTTCTTAGGTGAAACTTTTCTTCCTCAGAGTGAGATGGGGACCAGCAGGTGAGGAGTGTGATTCACCCAGAGAAGCAGGGATGTTCTCCCCCATTTAGTTTTCAGGAGGCAGCCAGGGCTTTGGGTCCGCACAGCTGAGGCGGTAAAACCGATGGGTTTTTGGGTCTGAAATTGTTATGGGTAACAAACTAATTTCTTTGTTTGCTCCTCTGATTGTGTCTTGTCCCACACTACAATTTTTCCTTTCCTACACAAAATGCACCTTTACAGAAACGTACAATACTTGGCCTAAAACTACAGCAAACTCTGATCATACCGATGAAGTGGAAGCTCTGCTGTGCTGTTTTATATGTGCATTTGTGAGTCTCTTGAAACAAAAACTTCCCTTGTTGTTCTTCCAGACGCCGTTGAGTCCATGCTTTCAGACTACGACATCCTTCCTCAGTCCAGCATCCAGCAACACTCGCTGAAGAAGAGGGACCTCCAGTCTGAGACACACGTGGAGAGGCTCTTAAGTTTTTCAGCCCTGCAAAGGTAATTAAATTGTCAGCAATGACATAGCGTAATGTTTTCCTTCAGTTTGCGATGAATAATGTGCAGCTCCAAACCCAGAAATAGTTACCTTGTTTTTTGTCATGACTGGCCAGTTCTTGTAAGTTAGTGATCTGCACGGTTGTGTGACTTGAGAGACTCAGAGGAGACAGAAGAATGAGTTGCCCTGTTGTATTCTGTTTGCTGGAGTGGCAGTGATTGAAGATTTCTTTTGCTTTGTTCTTAGCTTCATTTTCATGAACGTTGCTTCCACTGATTGGGTTGGATCCCACTCCTCCCTCACCTTGGCAAAATTGTCCTACTTCTTAACTGTCCTCTGGTTCTCGAAGACTTCTGCCTTCTGTTTGGGGCACATGTCTTCTGTGGAGGTTTAATACTCTTCCTACTGAGTGTGACTTTCCCATTCAATAAAACACTGCTTTTAATCAGTTTTTTACAAGATGGGAAATAGAAGTACAAGTGGAAGGAGATGTAGAAGACAGCAGGCATGAAGGTTGTAGGGATGTTATTCTGAGTATCAGAAAAATGCCTCACGGGTATTTGAGTGCTGAGACTGTGAATCTAAAATGGGGGAGCAGGGTGAATATAATTCTTTGTATTAACAAATGAAAGTCGATTTTCTTCATCTGGCATATTTCTCTGCTGTGTTTTCATGTTCCTTCCCCATCTGTCATCTACACCTACAATCATGGGTTTTTTCATCTCTAAATGTTTGGAGGGGTAATTTTAAAGTATCACAGAATCAGAGACTGGTTTGGGTTGGAAGGGACCTTAAAGATCATCCAGTTCCAACCCCCCTGCCATGGGCAGGGACACCTTCCACTAGACCAGGTTTCTCAAAGCCTCATCCAGCCTGGCCTTGAACACTTCCAGGGATGGGGCATCCACAGCTTCTCTGGGCAACCTGTGCCAGTGCCTCACCACCCTCTCTGGGAAGAACTTCTTCCTGATATCTGATCTAAACCTCGCCACTTTCAATTTAAACCCATTACCCCTTGTCCTGTCACTACAGGCCCTTGTAAAAAGTCCCCCCCAGCTTCCTTGTAGGTCCCTTCAGGTACTGGAAGGTGCTATAAGGTCTCCCCGGAGCCTTCTCTTCTCCAGGCTGAAGTACCAAGTATAAAAGGTTAATGGGATCAAATGTTTGGCTGTCCCAGTCTTGCACTGCCTCGTGCACCCTGACTTTATGGTGAGGTTGCAATACCACCAGCGGTAATTACAGAATAATTGCAGTGGGGGACACCAAAAATCTTTGACCCAGAGCCCAGATAAACTGAGAGCCTGTGTGGCTCCAGTTCTCTACTTCTGAGATAGGCTGTAGCTTTTGTGACACTATGTCAGAAAGAAGTTCTTCCTGGAGAGGGTGGTGAGGCACTGGAGCAGGTTGCCCAGGGAAGCTGTGGATGCCCCATCCCTGGAAGTGTTCAAGGCCAGGCTGGATGAGGCTTTGAGCAACCTGTTCTAGTGGAAGGTGTCCCTGCCCATGGCAGGGGGGTTGGAACTAGATGATCTTTAAGGTCCCTTCCAACCTTAACCATTCTGCGATTCTATGATTCTGTGTCGTAAGCAGAAACCTGATCTCTGTAGATTTTTGCGGTCTTCTGACTACTGTTTCAGAAAATAAGATAATTTAACTTAAAATAGATGAACAAATTCCTTCATCTGATTGTCTTTAAATAGCTACCAGTAACTGGTTTTGCTTGACTGCATATGGAGAGGGTGCATCATGAGCAAACCGTGACTGGTCTGGGCTGTTGTTTTTTTTTTTTTTTTAATTAAACATCCTTGATGCTTTAAAAAATATGTACGGTTATGAATTACACAGTGTATGTTTTTGTAGGTTGTGTATTGGAGTTAATGCTTTCCAGCTACCTTTGGACTCTCAGTAAAATGGAGACTGGATGTATCTGTTGTGTCTGTGCTTTGCTTAAAAATAAATGGAAGTAAATTCTTTTACAGGCACTTTAAACTATACTTAACTGCAACTGCTGAACACTTTTCAGAAAAATTTCAAGCATTAATTGTGGATGGGGAAGGCAAGGAGAAGGAGTATCGTGTTCAATGGCAAGACTTCTTCACTGGGCATGTCGTTGGTTAGTATGGACCAGCCTGTGTCAGTGCTGAGAAAGCACAGCTTTGCGTGAGCCGCTTGGCCAGAGTAAATGGTGTGTTGCCCTCCTTCTCATCAGATGTCGTTAGGATGAACAAGCTGTCTTAATTCTCATGCCCCTGGGTTGTCTGGTTTTGTTTTTGTGGAGTTTTTGCAATGGGCTTGGGGTTGGGTTTTTTTGAGCTATTGCACCAAGGTTCTTAGATGGGACTCTAATGTTCAGTTCTGCAGAACACAAAGGTGTAATTTACTTAAGCAGTAGGTTGCGGATTTTTTTTTTTTTAATGGTGATGATGGCTTTAATTCCAACTGGAATGTGGTAGTTGATGTTCCTTGTCCCAGAACACAAAGCCCAGGTAGTTGGTGGTGATGTGGCGTTACCCAGATTATGTTAAAAGACTTCAAGGTGGTTCTTTGCAGACTGCTTTTCTGTAAAGAATGGGTGTCTGGCTCCACGTTAGTCCAACACTAATGCTTCCTCGAAGCTGTTTTGGCTTTTACACTGCCTTTGTGATGTGGTGAAAGCCTTTTCCACTGGAACTCCGGCTCACACCGAGAAACTGCTGTCTGATAGCAGTGAGATGCAAGCTGCTTTGGTTAGAAGAAATATTGTGTCTTATTGCTAATCCCCACAGCCCTCTCAACACCTTCTGCAAAATTATCCATGAAATCAGAGTCTTTATGACCATTGAGAAGTTCAGGTTTGGGGGAGGAATGCTGGTTCATTTCTGATTTTCTTTAAACCGGACAGTATAGTGTTCTTCAGGGACTGAGGAAGGAAATTTGGCTTAAAAACAGTTAAAATCACCACTGTCTGTGCAGAATTGCATGCAGATAGAGCTGAACTAATTTCATTTTTCCTTGCTTATGTTACAGGAGAGCATAATTCCAAGGTTGTGGCGCATATTGGGGACGAAGACTTTACAGTAAGAATCAATACTGATGGAGAAGAATACAATATAGAGGTACTTGAAAGCAGTATCCAAACAATCATCTCTTCCCTGTGGGTGGTTCTCTTTCGAGTTAGTCACACTGACACTGCTCTAGCTCAAAATAGACTTAGTGGTGGTGTTTGTTTTGGGCTGAGCAGGGAGGAGGGAGAGAAATGTGAAACCAATTTGACTTTCGCAAGTGCCAGTTTTATTAGTGAGTGGCATTCTATGACATTTGCATGTTTTGGATACATTAGGGAGAAGGTATGTTTTGAACAGGAAAGGGGTTTAGAAACAGAAGTGGCGTAACGTTAGTAATTAGTGGTGATCCTCTAGAATAACAAACTGCAGCCTTCTGAGCAGCGTTGAGGTCTGTCGAGCTTTCTAAAATTCTGGCTTTGTTATGTCTTGTCATTTTTCCCATTCTTGGAGCGTTATTTGAAAATCTGGTATTTTCCCCTGCTCCCTTGTTTTGGTTTTTCATTGCTTGTGTTATTTTAAACTATTATTTAAAAAGAAATTTCAACAAATACATAATGAGAGATGGTTCTAATGAGTTGCTCAGTGCAGTATATTCCCAGACACAAGCTGTATTAGAATGGCTGAATAACAGTAATTATGGCTGAGTGTTATATGGATATTGTAATTGTCTTCAAACCCAAGAATATGCAGAATTACAGGGAAACCTGGGAAATTCAGTCATGTTTAAGTATGAAAATGGGATTGGAATACCTGAACTGCTGTGCCCGTGTTTTGCCCTAAGAGCGCAGAGTAGCCATTTGGTTGTGGTTTAAAGCATTTTTGTGTTAGTGGTCCAGAGTAATGTAAGCCTGTCTCGGTTCCCCATGCAGCCAATCCCTTGCTCCTCTCTGGCTGTGTCTGTATAGCTAAATAAAGGCAAGCCGTAGTGTGGAGGCTCTGGCTTGCCCACGCTGCCTCGTTGTGAGCGTCCCAGGGTCAACCTTGCCCCCTAAACTGCTGTGGGTGAGATGATGCCAGTGTGCAGTCAGAGGTAGTGTGTGCTGGAGACCATTCTCAAAAAGCAGCATCGACAAAGCCACTGTGCTGTTTCTTTCCATTGCTTTCATGGTCCTTCTGCACTGTTTGGAAAAGTTGTGGACCTTTGCCTAAAGCCCTGGTGCCCTTGTGCCTTGCGCTAGGATGCAAAACATGTGCCCTCAGTTTCACACTGCAGACACATGGTCAGCACAGCCTTTGCATTTCTGGACCTTTTTGCTGCAAACTGATAGCACAGCATGTTAAATAGTGGTCTTTCAACTTCAGACGACCACTGCCGAAGGGCCAGAGGAATCCCAGGCCCACGAGCACTGCAGTGTGGACGTGGGCGGTCTGTACCTCTCGGCCTTGCCCAGAGAGCAGAGCCTGGCCCTGTTGTATTTGGTGGTGGTGTTGTAGCTGCTGAGCACAGATAATAACAGGGATGTGCTGGTTAAAAAAACCCACGAGATAGTCAGGATGTATCTGTGGGAATTAGGAAAACCTGGGGACTTTGTGGTTTTCTTTGGTTTTGGAGCAATTTCCACAATTAAAAGTGACTTAGGAGAGTGTTCTGCTACACGGTTGGTATTCTCTGGTGTCTGCCAGCTCCGTTGCTCCTGGTCAGTGCGTTTGCTGGCACGGTTGAAACAGCTCCTCCCTGGCCGTGCCAGCCTGTGTGCCGTTGTGGAGGGAGCAGAGGAGCCCCAGATGCCTCCTCAGCTTTCTTCTGGAGGGGAAGAAAAATTCTGTCTTCTACAGCCTTATTGGTGGCTGCTGCTGCTCTCGAGATGATCTTAGATCTTTGGATGCATGTGTAGCGTATTGAATTCTGTTGGCTTTCTTGGGGATGATGTTTTATCAGTGAACTTATTGCTGGGGGTGAAATTATCATAGTCCAGTGCATCTGTGTGTGAGTCCACATAAAACTCTGGAGATTTGGTGGTACATTTATATCATGCAGCCTTCCAGTACCTGAAGGGGCTACAAGGAAGCTGGGGGGGACTTTTTACAAGGGCCTGTAGTGACAGGACAAGGGGTAACGGGTTTAAATTGAAAGTGGGGAGGTTTAGATTGGATATCAGGAAGAAGTTCTTCCCGGCGAGGGTGGTGAGGCACGGGAACAGGTTGCCCAGAGAAGCTGTGGATGCCCCATCCCTGGAAGTGTTCAAGGCCAGGCTGGATGAGGCTTCGAGCAACCTGGTCTAGTGGAATGTGTCCCTGCCCATGGCAGGGGGGGTGGAACTGGAGGGTCCTTAAGGCCCCTTCCAACCCAAACCATTCTATGATAATTTTTTACTTATATAGACTTATTCTTGGCATTCACTGTGTTCCTAACCAGTTGCATTTCTGTCCTTGTGCTGTCAGCCACTGTGGAGGTTTGTAGAGAATGTGGAAGATGAAAGACTGCTGGTCTACAGATCTGAAGATATAAAAGATTTCTCACGATTACAGTCTCCCAAAGTGTGTGGTTATTTAAAGCTGAATGAGGAAGAACTGTTGCCAAAAGGACTGGAAGACAGGAAGCAAAACGAAGGTGAGTGTTGTACCTTGGGAGAGCAGCATCTCTGGAACGAATGCTTGAATGCTGGCTGTGTGGTCAAGCAAGATCAGAACCTGGGCAAAAAGCTGTCTTGCTGCTTAATAGCCCCAAAACTAAACATCCCCTTTCTCCCCACAAAAACTCACCCTAACTCACCTTCATGTCTTAAATAACAGACATGGGAGTGTCAGTTTTAGTGAGTGTTTGTGTAATTCTGTTTATAACGTTCATGTCAGCAGGCACCCCTCGGAAGAAAAGAGCCGTTCCAGAGAGCTCCAAAAACACGTGCAAGATGTTGGTAGTGGCAGATCATCGTTTTTTCAAGTATATGGGCCGTGGGGAAGAGAGTACCACTATAAACTATTTGGTAAGTAAATGTGCTTTTTTACAGTTTGCTGGAATAAATGCAGGAATAAACAGTGGTTCGGTAGTTAAAACAATGTATGGCTTGTACTGCTGTCGTGCAACGTACGGTATCTACATTTCATGGCTCTGTGTGCTGTTTACCTGGGAAAGGTGCTCCCTCCACAACGGTGTGGGTTAAAAACATTTTATAATGGAGATACTGTAGTTAAATAGTTCATAAGTGAAACTTGAAGACAAGTCCCTCCCCTTCACAAACTTCTTGACAGGGCAAGGGGTAATGGGTTTAAATTGAAAGTGGGGAGGTTTAGATTAGATATCAGGAAGAAGTTCTTCCCGGAGAGGGTGGTGAGGCACTGGCACAGGTTTCCCAGAGAAGCTGTGGATGCCCCATCCCTGGAAGTGTTCAAGGCCAGGCTGGAGGAGGCTTTGAGCAACCTGGTCTAGTGGAAGGTGTCCCTGCCCATGGCAGGGGGGTTGGAACTAGATGGTCTTTAAGATTCCTTCCAAACCATTCTGTGATTCTTGTGGCTATGCTGTTCTCTGCCTAAGGAAGTTTCTTTTTCCAGTCTGAGCTTTAGAATCTTCTGGACTTTGAAATCCACTGTAAACAATCCGGCACTTTTAAAGTTCAGGCATGTTAAAAGCTCACATAAGAAGCAAAAGCAACTTGTATACATTTTCCTCCTTTGCGCCCCCAGATTCTTCCAGGATCCTTTGTCCAGAACAACAAAATCAGAAGCCGTCAGGGTAAATAACTAGTTTGGTTGCACACAGGTGTTTTAGGTAAGCCCCCGGCAGGCAGCTCAGCCCCACGCAGCTGCTTGCTCAGCCCTCCCGGGTGGCATGGGGAGAGAATCGAAGGGTAAAGGTGAGACGACTCGTGGATTGAGATAAAAATCGTTTAATTGGTAAAGCAAAAGCTGTGCACAGAAGCAAAAGGAATGAATTCACTGCTTCCCGTTGGCAGGCAGGTGTTCAGCCATCCTGAGGAAAGCAGGACTCCGTCACGTGTAACGTGACGTTTTGCAGGTGTAACCCAGCCCAAACCAGTACAGTGCTTCTCTCCTGAGAAGTGTTTGTGAAGTGGAATGCCTGCCCGCAGCCTTTCAGGGGTCTGGAGACAGAAAGAAATGAAATAGCTTTTGGAGGTTGGCTGTTTGTCAGGAGTCTCTTTCTGAGCCGGAATCTTTGAAATGTTAATCATGCTGTTGCACCTTTGCTGGCTTTTTCACCTTTCTGTCCCCAGAACTGTTTACATTCCCAGGTAACCAGCCTCAGTTGGTGTGTTTGCAGAGATGTTATTATCTCCGCACCTGACAGATGCAGAGGTTAACCTGCTCCTGTGTTTCCTGGCTACATGTGTGCCGTAAACACAGCAGTGATTGGAGAACTGAGGCATGAACTATTATGGAGTGGCTCTGAATGTCACTCTTCCTTCTGAGCAAGTTTGGTAGTTTATGTGTAGTAGGAGGTACGTTTTTAGGAAGATAAGAACAGCTTGAAAAGGGAGGCATTGATCATGAGCACTGAAGAGAAACTATCCGGAACCTTGTGCTGGGACCATCCTGAGGAAAACAGTAGGTGTTTGGCTGGGAGAGGGAAGCAGGCCTCTGGGATTGGTTAAATTAGTTCAGCATCGTGCAAAAACAAAGAGGTGAAAACAACTCCCTCCTCTGCCCTTCCCCTCAAAGAAACCTGGAAGACTAGTGTATGAACAAAGTATTTCCCAAGGTGTCTTGTTCGTGGTATTACTGCTCTTCCACTGCAGAAATGAGAGCGATAAATGGGAAAGTTTGTCCTGCTTTTTTAGGATGGAAAATTTTCAGGGATGTTTGATAATACTCGCTAGGTCCAAGTGCTGTTGTTTTTGGATCCGTGAGTCCGTTAGGTTATGTGAGGGTTTTTAATTTCTGTTTCTATGTAAGGGTGTTGCAGCTTATCTGAGTGTCTTGAACGTTGTTATGTGAAAGCTCAGAACTAAATAACTTGTTTTTATTTTCTGTGTAGATTGAGTTGATAGACAGAGTCGATGACATCTACCGAAACACTTCCTGGGACAATGGAGCCTTCAATGGGTACGGCATACAGATAGAGCAGGTATTTGCAGAACTGCGCAAAGAGTTTCTGGTTTAAAAGGAGAAGCATGTGGTTTGGATATCAGATTTCTGATGATTCTATCTGGATTAGGGTTAAAATAGTCAAATCCTACGTTACGAACTCCAAAATAGCATCTTGCCGGAGGTGGTGTTAATGATCTGACACAACATGCCCGTGTTCAGTTCCTTGCAGCTTTGGAGAAGAGAGTTTCCAGGCAGCATCTTTCCATATTTAAGCAGTTCTAGTTTGTGTAAGACATACTCTTTCGCATGTATCTTTAATGTTTGCATCTATGGCTCGTGCTTCGCTTACAAAGCCTGAGTGGGTCTCAAATAGAGATGAAAACCCACAAATCCTGCCTGAGGAGCTTTGACTCCCCTTAGACATCACAATGATATGACAGTGTAGAGGCTGGGATAGGGTAGACACAGGGGTGGAGTTACTACGGTTTAGGTGTTGGCTCCTGAGATTTAGTGCCCCATCCCTGGAAGTGTTCAAGGCCAGGCTGGATGAGGCTTTGAGCAACCTGGTCTAGTGGAAGGTGTCCCTGCCCATGGCAGGGGGGTTGGAACTAGATGATCTTTAAGGTCCCTTCCAACCCAAACCATTCTGTGATTCTATGATTAGTGCACAGAAATCTAGAAGGCAGCATTAAAAAGAAGAGGAACACATTGGGTATGAGTGCTGCAGGAGGCGTGATGTGGAACGTGGGGTCATGGTACAAGCTAGCTGCCCCTTTGCTGGTAACAGGTCTGCAGGAACAGGAAGGAGTTAATGGGGCAGGAAGGAGGAAGGAACGTGATGCACTAATTCTGATCACTGGGCTAGTAGCAATCCTGCAAAATATGTTCTGGTTAGCTAGAATTCTGAAATGGTTTGGGGTTATTGATGTAAATCCCGGTTGTATTTGGCTGGGGTTTTTACAAAGTAATGTGCATCTTGGAGCAGAACGCGATGCTGAAAGCTGTTGATGTTGCTCCATAAAATGGCTGGTGCAGTTCCTTATGATGTATTTGGTGTATCTAAACTGGCAGGGTCTGAAAAGTTAACACCGGGAGCGTGCTGAGTCTGAATTTTTCTCCTTGCAGATCTATTGAGACATTTAAGATTGAAAGCTTTTCTGTAGCTATAAAATTGACCAAAAATCCTCTACGTTGTTGTTGCCCTTTCTGAAATGTAGATTATCATCCACAATGAGCCAAACCTTGTAAAACCCGGAGAAAAGCATTACAATATGGCAAAAAGTTACCCAGATGATAAGAAGGATGCCTGGGATGTGAAAATGCTGCTAGAGGTAGGTTGTAACCCTTGAAAAGCTGTGCCCCGATTCCTCATTCGTGCAGCTGCTCTGTAATAACAGATGAAACTCCTCTACTTCCTTCGCATGACGTGGAGAGGTTACGCAGAGTCAAGCCAGCTTGTGTGCCCTGTAGCCCGTGGTGAAGGGCTCCGTTGCATAATTACAGAGCAGGCAACGATTAGAGTTATTAATAAGGGGCCTGAGTCAGAAAAGCAGTCCTGATCTGTCTGGCCCTGAGCCTGGGTGTCTTGTCACCCTCATCAAATTGCTGTGCTTGGCTTTCCCCTCTCTGTGAAAAGGGGAAATGAGTAGAAGAGTTATGTAAGTGGGTGTGCCCAGTGTAATTGGGTATTCATTTAATTTCCTACTGCTCTGTAGGAAAGAGAAACAGACCTAGAAGGTGCCTGTCTGGCTCATGACATAAATGTTCTCACCTACAGACTTCTAATATGTACCGTAAAGTGTCTTACAGAGATGTGATTTTTTTTTTCCCTTTAAAAGCAATTTAGCTTTGATATCGCTGAGAAAGCAGCTCACGTGTGCCTTGCTCATCTCTTCACCTATCAAGATTTTGACATGGGAACGCTTGGATTGGCTTATGTTGGCTCTCCCAGACCTAACAGCCATGGTGGGATTTGTCCTAAAGGCAAGGCTCTGTTTTCTTTCCTCCTGATGTGGGTTGAAAGCTAGGACTGGTTGTTTAATCCTCTTTTCGAAGACTCTAGTGGTTGGTTTTTGGATAGAATGGATAGCCATTTTCTTGGCTGGAGCTGGAGCAAGGAAGGAAGGATGGGAGCCTACAAGGAAGCTGGGGGGGACTTTTTACAAGGGCCTGTAGTGACAGGACAAGGGGTAATGGGTACAAATTGAAAGTGGGGAGGGTTAAATTAGATATCAGGAAGAAGTTCTTCCCAGAGAGGGTGGTGAGGCACTGGAACAGGTCGCCCAGAGAAGCTGTGGATGCCCCATCCCTGGAAGTGTCCAAGGCCAGGCTGGATGAGGCTTTGAGCAACCTGGTCTAGTGGAAGGTGTCCCTGCCCATGGCAGGGGTTTGGAACTGGATGGTCTTTAAGGTCCCTTCCAACCCAACCCATTCTATTCTATGATTCTATGATAAAAGTCACTGGGTTATCTGGAGTGACCAAGGTGTGTGAAGGCCCCTGCCACCCGGCTGGACCAAGGGTGTTGTGAGGGCACACCTGGCAGCGGTTCTGCAACGGCAGATGCCGTCATCTCGGGAATCTGTTGTATTTTTGCCTTTACTGCGACGCACAAATGTTGCGTGCTTTAAGGATTCTCCCCTGCAGAAACTGACAGGAGCCAGGGTCTCACTGGTGAGCCTCTGAGAACAGTAAAGCTGTTCATTTCCCCAAACAAGGATCCCTCTCCCCCCAAAAACCCTGAAACCCAAGAAAAATCTGTTACCAGTTTTTGTTTTTTTCTTCCGTCTACAGCTTATTATAGTCAGATTGCCAAGAAGGACATCTACTTGAACAGTGGCTTGACCAGCACCAAGAACTACGGGAAGACCATTCTCACGAAGGTAGGAGAGTATCCCAATCCACAGTGTGACGGTTTGGTGTGTGTCTGTGTGTCTTTGGCAATGTGCGCTCTGGGACTGTGACAAGCTTCAATGCTTTCTCGGGAACAAGCTGCTGGCTTTCCGATTGTTGGGTCCCTGGGGATAGTCATAGAAT